TGAACGAAGTTGTCAGCAACAATAAAGGTTATACGGATGCAGTAGAAAATTCATACAACATTGAAAATGATGACGATAATAATGAGAATGAAACAGTGGTAAACGACGATGGTGATGAGAGTTGTGGCACTGAATAATTTTTATTATTCTTTGTATTTTTTTTTTTCGCAATAAAAATTACGTAGATCAAATTTTTTTTTCTATTTGTATTTGTATGCAATAAAAATTATGTATATATACGTATAGTACTGATCTGCCCATCTCTAATCATGAATTTCCTGTCATCAACAGAGAACCAATCCTTCATATTTGTTGATAAATCAATTATTCGTGATGATCTGTAATGTAATATGGCTCTTTCTATTGCTGATGTTTTTTTCTTCTTTTGAATTGCTTTTGCATTTGTGGATATGTTTCTGGCAGTAATATCACCAACATTTTTACCAGAGGGTAGAATCCTTTTTTTTTTGACTACTAAGTATAGAATCGAGGGTTTCTTCAGGAGCTGGGACATCTTCGTCGTCATCTTGTTCGTTATCCTCACTACCTTGCTCTTCGGAGGAATCTTCATCATCTGGAAACAGGTCAAGAGGAGCCAATTTCTTAATCTTAGTTCCATCCGGTAAAGTATCCCCCTAAAGAAATTAAACTCAATTACTTCTGTAAAATGTTTTTTTTTGCGGACAAAAATTTAAGCTATATATCAATCCTTTTTCTTGATGACGCTTTCTTTTTTTGTGATTCAACTGACTCTTCTTCATGAGAACGGACTCGCTTACGTTCTAGTAATATTGCCAATATTCATCATTATTCAGAGAAGAATACATATATATGAAAATTAAATGCATTACCAAAACGTAATTTATCTTGCGTGATACTGAAAATTGTATTGTTGACGTCCTCATATAATTCTGAAACTCGACCAATCATCTTGTTAGTATTGAGGTTCACCACCGTATTCAATGTTTCTAAAAAAAATGGACAATTCCTCCAGAAGATGTCGATTTTAACTGAATTTGCCTCTTTCTAATGGATAAAATAGAAAAGAACAAAAACCCATTCAGACGTATCCTAAAGGTGCCCGATAGACGTATCCATCGGCTGTCAGACATATCCTAGCACCTTCTGGGTAAATTAATAACAAATCACGTTGCAAAGAAGTTATGCCCATTCAGGCATATCCTAAAGGTACCTGATAGACATATCCATCGGCTGTCAGACGTATCCTAGTACCTTCTGGGCTCTTCATGATTAAAATAAACAAAAGTTTCAAATCTTAAATTTCTTGTTCATGAACTCCACTTATCGTCTCTAGGTCATTTTCCAATTCAATTACCCTACTCTCCAATTTAGTTACAAGGTCCTGAGCTTGTAACATTAACGGTAGAAAAGTAGCTATATCATTTACATCTTCTTGATAATAATAATTATTATTATTATCATCATCATTATTATTCATTCTGAATGAACTGTAGTCAAGTATTTCACTAGACATTTTGATTTTGATAATTTAAAAAAATTAAATTAATTCAAAAAAGAAAATCCTTAAATTTAATATAAATAAGTAGTTTATCATTTTCAGGTGAAAAGTAATGATCACAATGTAATTTTATTTATTAATTAAGGTTGTATCACATAAAATTTAATTAAATTTTTTCGCGTATATAAGCTAATAAGGTTATGTATTATAATATTAATATGCTTAACATACACGAATAGTTTTTTATCGTTTTGTAAAGTCGATTTTGAGAAGTATTTTAAAGTTGAAACTGGATGAACATTATGTTTAAGATATGTACTAGTACAAAAGTAGTTAAATCAAAACTGTAATCAATAAAACAACTATATTAATATATATATATACTATTATTTTTTTATATCACTTGGTCAGTTTCTTCATTTCACTTCAACATAGCATTACCATTATTATTAGTAAGAACTACTTGCGTTGAATTTAAACATGAACCGAGGCTCAATGCAAGTACTACTATTTAAAAAAAATTTAAAATGAATATTATTTTTTTGGAAATTAATTAAAAAGGGGGGGAAATAACACCTTGATCAACATATTGGCTATTGTATTAAAAGTTTGAATTTCTCACCCCAGCTCTCCCTAATTATTTAATGGTTTTATGGAACCACTTCAATTATCTGATCACGTGTAACAAGTGAAAATGTATTCATCTGCAAAAAAAAATTTTTCGATTTTTATTTAAAAAAAAAAATAAAATGAAAACAAGATTTGTTTGTTTAGGATTAAAATATTTTAATAAAAATGTTCTTTTATCATCAAATAATTTATCTATCTTTCCTTTAAGATCGTTTATGAAAAAAAATATTTTATAGTAATGTGGGATTTTTTTTTAATCTGATTAGATGTTACTAAATCAAATAACGTTTCATTAAATAACAATAAAGGAGCTGATATAAAATCAAGAAACATTCCATTTCCATTAGCACCGCAAAAATCAAAATCTAGATATGGGAACAAATTTTCAGATATAAAGATCTTTTTATTTAACATATATTATCATCTTCTTCATAATAATCGATTGTTTTTTTTGGCACAACATAATAATCTTACAATCAAAGAACAAGAATCACTTCGTAATGAATTAGACAAATTAAAGGTAGAAGTAATGGCTGCACGTTCAACAATTTTATCAGCAGTCTTGGAGCAATCTATAATTTATTCAAATATGAGACCATTAACTATAGGACCAACATACATAATAAGTTCGGATGTCAGCGACCATGAAAACCCTAATTTAATTAAAGATCTGCTAAAGATCCTAAGCAAACATAATAAAATTTTATTACTTGGAGGTAAATTGGATAATAATTTATTGAATTTTGAAGAAATAGAAAAAATTTCTAAATTGCCAAATTTAAAATATTTACATGGTGAATTGATTGGATTATTAAATCAATCAGGAACCATATTAGCTAATATATTAGAAAGAAATTCACAATCTTTAATTTTAACTTTAGAAAATCATAAATCAAATATTTCTTCTTGAAAATATTAATTCAAAAATTTTTTTAATTAATTACAAAAATAATTATTATTGTTATTATTATTATTACAACAAATAATAAATCTATTTCTTACCTAATACAAAATAATTTATGTTTTTTTAAAAAATATATAAACATATTATTATTTATTATGCCACAAGAAAGTTTTAAGGGAATTCCACTTATCAGAGTCGAGGTATAAATATTGCATAGATGATTGTAAAGATGGTTGCAACACATCACGATTATGACGAAACAACCACATAACAGTTCCCCATACTAAAGCTGCAAATATAGGAAACGAATTATTTGGTTCATTCATTACTTTGTGAGACACTGGTAGTTTTGCTAATCCAATCATAATTCTAGCAAATACATAAAGTACAATCTTTATAAATAAATAATTTAAAATAAGTAAAATTGAATATATGTATGTATATTTGAATAATAATTATGATATCTAGAAATGTTATCATTACTTGTTGATTGACATTATTATTTTCGCCAAACACCAAGTATCCACCAATTAACCCTGCTATGAATGAATGTCCATTTTGCTCTTTGCCAACAATAAGTTTTTGTAAATACATCATTGTTTTATATGTTGTAACAAAAAATGCTAAATTTTTTGAATGTTGTTTTGTAGCTTTAAAAATAAGAATAAGTTTATCCTTTAAACTGAATATTTATATATAAATATATATGCGTGTGTGTGAAGAGAATATAAATTTTAATAAAATAATTCAACATGAATTTTTTGAAAGATAGTAAATATCTTTTACCTTTCAGAGCGAAATAATAAAGTCATGACAAGAGCATGAGGAAATCTAACTTTTGCTCCATAAACAGCTCCATTACGAAAGCCTTTAACAATAGCAAGAACATCATGATAATCTGGATTATGAATGATTTCTGTAATATTTTCTATCATCTTTTTTATAATTTTAAAAAAATAATGTATTTTTTTTTTTTTTGCATAAATATTTATTATTATATCCTAAGAGCGATTATCACTATTTTTGGCCAACATTTAAAAAAATATATTCGCAGGTTTATTGATAACAAGTAAACAATCTTATTACATTAAATCAGGAAGATCTAAATCCTTCATAAAAAGTCACCATAGTTGCTGTTGCCACCAGCTAGACATATCCTGCTACAATTAAAATGGCAGCAAAGAGGTCAATCTAGGAAAGTCCCCCTTATAAACGGATCAGGTCTCTCCATAAGTGTTTATGCGCGAAAAAATGTTCCTTAAGTTACAAGCAGCATTAACATCTCGATTCCGACATACTGATTTGCAGACTCTGATAGACCAGAATTTTTTATGCTTATCAAACCACCAATCATACAAAGGAAAACTATCAGTAAACTGCTTCAATTCAATATCAATTTTTGCTACTTGCTCTACAGTTGTATTAGGAGGAACCAAGTTTGTCACGACTTTTCATGGGTTCTTTATTAGTATATTCAGAAAATAACATGTTGACAATTAAGCGAATTATTTTGTTGTTGCAAAAAATTGTTTTGGATTTAAAAATGTTTATAACTTTGATGCTATCTTTTTGTTAAACTTACATTTGCAATATGGCTCTATTACGTTGTAGATATTGATATATGTTCTGCGAGCTCAAAACAATTTTCAAAAACAAAAACCTCATATGTTATATATATATATATATGCAAAGGCGATTTTCTTCAAGTAAATTGATTTTTAACAATTGAAATTATAACTTTGAAAGCAAGTTAGCTACAAAAAATATAAATTTTTTATGAACTTACTTGTCTACAACGTAACAACGGTATTTTTTTGTTTATTTTAAAATTTGTATTATTATCTGTATCTAAGGATTTGCAATACAATTTGAAGGAGAGGTGATCGATCATCTAAATCATTTTCATCAAGATTTGCTGTTATAAAATCATATAACACTTATATTTCAATAAAACAATTAAATTTACAAATAAATTCTTTTCTTTAGATTGTAAACGTGAAGGCTTTCTCTCTTCTTTAATTGATACATTATTTTTTTTCTAACTATATAATAAAGATATATATATATATTGTATATATTGATAATGTCAATAGGAACGCGCGAAGAAAATTTAAGCTTACATTACAAGACAAAATTTCGTTTAGATAATAATAGAATAAAAATTTCTTTGAAACGTAAATATATAATTATTGCTATTACAATTACAATTACCATTACTATCGTTACCATTGTTTCCGTTCTCCTTTGACTTCAAAAAAAAATTATTAAATTTTTTCTGTACATTCTGCACATTCTCCACACATTCTCCGCACATTTTGCATATTTTGCACATTCTCCGCACATTTTTTGCACACGTTTTCATTCTAAACCCAAATTAAATTATTTCTATTTTTATCAGTCGTGACTGGCACCCCTTCTTGAGGAATGGGTGGATTCCAGAATACATCAGACACAGGAAGGTTTTAACTGGGTAGTTTTGTAGGTTTAGTGCATTCCATGTGGTTGAAATATTGTAATTGTCACCGTTTCAAATTCCCACTATTATATTTGCAAAGAAATTTACTCTAAGTTTCTGCGTTTGATCACAA